GGACCCCTGGGCCCGGCCCGACGCTGCCCATTCACCTCCTCCTCTCCGCCTCCGGAGCGCTCCGCTCTGTCACCCGGCCGCCGTTCGTCATTGGCTCTGCTATTTTTTGGTGCCTGTTTCCATGTCACCCCTCGGCGGATCGCGATAGGCGATGAGCGGCTGCGAACGGCGCTCCGTGACACCGCCGCGCATCTCGCCGCCTCCCCCCCCCGCTCCGCACCCTTTCTCAATCCGCGGTTCGGAGCCGCTGGGATGCGGCCGGGCTCGGCCCCGCGCATCGCATCGCCCCGCGCCGGGGGCGGGCAGCGCTGCGGGAGCGGAGCGCGGCGGCGGCGCCTTAAAGCGAAACGCAAAAGTTCGCCTCTCCCTTTTCCCTCCGTCCCTCCCTCCGTCGCGGGGCTGAAGGTATTTCGCGTGTCACGCAGGAATCCCCGCCGCTTCGCTCGGCTCCCCCGAGCGCGGGGCGCGCACCGCACTTTCCCAGCGCCGCTTTTTCCCGTTGAGAGCCGCTGCGCTCCGCCGGTTGTCCCTCGCTGCCCCGATGGCCGCGAAACGCGGCGGGCTCTCGCTAGCATCGCAATCTCGGCGTCTCTGCCGCGACGCGGCCACTCGTTACAGTACATTCGCGTCGCGGCTCGGGGAGCGTTTTTAGCGGCGAGCATGGGAATGCGTGCCGGGCCGCCTCGTCGGGCCGCGCTCTCCGCAGGGATGAGGGCTCGAGGAGCGGCGGCACCCGGCAGCCGTCTGCCCACCGGCACCGACTTTCGCTTTCAGGAGCTCGGCGTCCTGCCCCGCTCGGTGCCGCACAGGTGCGGGGCGTTCTTCCACACCGCTCGCCCGGCGTCTGTCCGCAGCCCGCGGTTCGTTCCCGTTTCTCATTGAAATGAAAGCCCGTGCCCTGCGCCAGCTGGGCTCTGTCGCACCATCGTTCCTTTTGGCTTTCTTATTTCTCGAGCTGCACCGTTTCCATATTTTATAATTACATAAAGGTGGGTGTGGCTAAAATGAAAGCAGTAAGCGATCTAATATCGATACGCGGGCTGTGGAAATTAGGTTTTCCTTCCTTGTATTTGACATGCTCCTCATTTTGAGACACTTGGGGAGGGGGGTGGGGGGGAACCGTGTAGCTTCAATGGACCCTTGAGGAACTGCTTGCATTTTTCACCTCAGTTAAAACGTCAAACATTAACTGGATGGTTTGGCCCTGCAGAAGGCACATTTGGAGGAAATATCAAATGTGCTTCAAGATCGAAACCTGTGTATTTACACGATGGCGATAACTGAAAGCTGAACTTCTGTGCTTAGTGGTGTTTCTTCGCTGTGCCGTGCACTGCGTACACATACTTTCTTATTTTTTTTATTTTTTTTTTCAGACTTTTTTTTTAAATCTCAGCTGTCAGAAAAGCATCCAAATAAGCTTCTCTTGCCCTCTTAATTTTTTGGTAATTTTTTGGTAATTTTTTAACATTTTTTTTTGCTGTTTTTTCAATAGCCTGGTGCCGAGAAAAACCCAACCAAGTTGCACTGAAAGTTTCCAAGAGGTGCATTCTCTTTTCAGAGAGAGAAACCTTGTGCAGCTTGGAGCAACTGTGCTTTTTGTAATGCTGAGGAGCAGCAGCAATGGGAAGGTGTGGGGCTGTGGGCAGCGTGTTGCAGTGTGGGGCACGGTTAGGCTGTGTGTATGGTCACAAGGTGTGCGAGGTGCTTTTGCTGCTTGGTCATCGATTGGGGTTTTGTGTGGTTTTTTTTTTCCTTTTTTTTTTTTTTTTTTTTTGCTTGGCTTTTGGAATTCTGGGCTTGTTCCTGCTCCATCCAAAGCACAGCGTCACAGGAGGGATTTTGCTCCTGAGCTGTGGGCTGCGTTTCCTTAATTCTCCCAGTGCTAATGAATCAGGATGTGAGCAGAGTGCAGCCGGGGCTGCAGGCACTGCCTGTCAGTGTGAGCACTAGGGGAAGGTGCACAGCCCATCCCTCCCAAAGGGCACAGCTGCCCAACAGGTGTATGGCACTGCTGTCTATTTGAGTGAGCTGCACCCAGAGCTCTCACCTAACAGCGAGCACTGCTGCTACAGCAGCCTGCTGCTTTTCAGTTGCACTGGGAAACAATTACCTACTGAGCACCTCCGTGTCCTACCAATATTCTGTAGATACTTCGTTTGATAGCTCCATCATCTGTCTGTGCCCAGAGGCCCCTTAGCTCTCATCGCAGCAATTTACATTTATTAAAGTTGTCAAAAGTACAGTGCAGCTTGGCCTTGTCCTGCCTGGGGAGGAAATGGGAGATTGCACTGTGCCGTTCTCTGTACCAGCAAGGAAATATTTTTATATATATATATATATATATATATATATATATTATTTTTTTAAATAAAAATAGCTTTGTGTACTCTTAAGTCTCCTTCCACAGATGTGCTGTTTGTACTTATTTATATAGAAATAAATGTACACATATATACATATTCTGAACACTTAACATTTAACACTGGAACCTGATACCAAAATGATGATTTTTTTTTTTTTTTTTTCCTATCACCACTAACACTGGGGAAGTGTTGCTTGCCCACGTTTCTCGTGTATATACTCTGACTCTTCACACAGCTTTTTTTTTTTTTTTTTTTTTTTTTTTTTTTTTTTTTTTGTTATTTAATAGAACTGGTGATGTACTCTAAGGCAGGAGGACTGAAGATGTGTCCCACAGATGTGAGGGGGGACGTGATGCAGAGGGGAGGTGTGTGGCATGGATTCCCGATGCTTCATTTCCTTCAGTCAAAATGCTGCTTTGCCATTTTATTTATTTATTTTGCAAATTATTGGCAGGAGCTAGGTAGGATTTTTTTACTTTTTTTTTTTTTTTTTTTTAGGTAACTGTGTGTTAATGCACAACAAGCAGGAGAAGTTAGGCTTAGCGGGGGAAATAGTATTTTTGAAATTACCCTAAATTTGGATGCTGGGCAGTATCAGAAATGGTTACAATGAGCTAGGTAGAATAATCCCTGCCTATTGTTTAATGGGGTGTGAGGCAGTGTCTGTGCTGAAATTCTTTTTTAACCCTTTGCTGCAAATCCTAAAAGCAGTCCAGCTGCAGTGTGAGGAGCTGTGCCTGTTCCTGGGGCAGAGTGGGAGCGGGGCTGGGGGGCAGCTCTCAGCTCAGCCCCTGTGCTGCTGCTGTGCTCAGGGGCAGCAGGGAGAGCAGCCAACACCTGGCAGTTTTTTACTTTAATATTAGCATCTAATCATATTTTAGCACATCATCTCTTAAAAAAATTAAAAAAAAGTTATCTTTACAGCGAATATTAATGACTTTGTGTAATTCTAAGCACTTCTTCCTATCTCGGCAATGCTGTTGCCAGTGTGTGAGGATGGCCTCCTCGTAGGCACACACACATTCATTGCCACATACACAGAACAGGAGAAAAATGTCAATTCTGTACATTGAGCTCCTATTTTGTAAAAACTTTCCCAATGTGTTGCTCTGAGATGATACTATGCTTACAGCTGAAAAATAGCTGTGACTCGCAGGGATGGTTGTTAATGTCTGAAGGAAACCACTGTTAGAAGAAGAGGATAAAAAGTGACTTTTTGGTTTGTTTTCAAAAACTGTAATGAGTGTATCCACAGTAAATGGATTATTAATAAACTTTTCAACGTCTGATCTAGCTGCAACTAATTATTTTATTTAGTGTGAGCTGAAATTCACAGGAAGGTCTCAGCTGAGAAGGAGATAATTACACTCGGCTGAGGGCTCCAGCCTCTGTTTTCGTAGAAGGTGCTTTTCTGTGAGCTTGCTTTCAGTATTAGCTTGAAGGATATTAAATCTTAATATAAGCGTGGGGAGGGAATTTTGAGAAGCATTTTTGTGTTATTGGTTGAAGAGCAGAAACTTTTATTTTCACTGATCCTTCCCATAATTTTTTTTTTTTTTTTTTTTTTTTTAAATAAGGCAAATTTTCTGTTCTGATTAAAGCAGAGTGCTTATCAGAGCTCTACAACTATGGGGATTTTTTTTAGGATTTTTCTGGACTACGATGAAGGAATAAAGGGCAAAATGATGGGGCACGTTTGTGAGCAGGTGAGCTGAGCGAGGCAGCTGCTGCCACGTTTGTTGGGCACTGCATGTGTCATGTCCTGCTATCTGCAGTGAGAAAAGCTCCAATAAGTGGAAGGATGTGGCTGTGTGGATGCACTGCTTCCTGCAGTAGATACCTGATACAGTTATTCCCTCTATCAGGTTATGTTTTGTTCTTACCTGAATATTGTCTTGGCCAATTTCTTTTTTTTTCTTTTTTTTTCTTTTTTTTTTTTTTTTAGTTTTATTTTTTCCTCTTCCCAATATGCTTTTAAATTTTTGCTGGGAGAGCATTAGATGACTCTACAGTTTCTCTTACACCTTCTAAAGCAGCTAGTATTTGCGCAGCTACGTTTTAACGAACGTAGCAGTGGTAACTGCCCTTGAAGAGAAGCAGCTGAAGCTCCTTCAGGAAAAAACGTGCGAAGTTCAACCCTGCTCAGTCAGCAGCACCGTCTGGGGAGTGTGGCAGCAGTCATCACACACCCATTAAGCAGTTTGTACTCAACCTGTTTGCTGCTTTCAGGGTGGAGGGAGAGACTGGGAGAGGTTCTTCCCCCCCTCCTTTCCCTTTCCCTCCCCCTCCCCCCCCCCCCCTCCCCCCCCCCCCCCCCCCCCCCCCACCTCCTCCCTTCCCCCCCCTTTTTTTTTTCTTCCTCTTGCTTTCATGTTAAAATGCTGCAGGAAGAATGAAAGCAGGGCATGCTAATCTGATTTGTTTCGAGAGGCTTCTGATAATAAAGAGGCATATCACAGGTGTTCCCAATCAACCCGGTTTGGTTTAAAATATATCTCTCTCCCTCTTTAAAATTAGGATTTCCTGTAATATAGACAATGCGAGGGTCAGCCCGATGACCTCTGTCTATGTTTGGGGACCAACCATGAAACTGTGGGTGTTGGAAATATGTTATAATACATGACGTTTTTATTGCAGGTTTCGACCTTTCAATAGAGAGCTGATTTTGGAGAACGGCTTAGTCCTGTGATTGAAAAACTCTTTCTGGAAGGTTGATGGAGCAGGAGCATGGTATATATTATATTAACATTTCTCTATTACACGTGTTCTTAATTTAAAAAAAAAAATGTATATGGTGTAACTTCTTTGGACTATTCAAAATAGGCAAGTTGGGCTGGATTTGCCTGAGTTTTTTCTGTTTGGTAAAATAATTCTTCTTTACACTCTCTCTGTAAAATACTAAGAGGCTGAGTAAAAGTGAAGCATTCACACGAGCTGTCTTCAGAAGGAAATGAAGTGGCCAAAATTCGTACAAAAAGCTGAGTTTGCAGCAGCCTTGGTCATAGAAGTTATATAAATTCTCTATATAGTATTGTTCTCGTATTCATGTATTGGGAATTAGTCCAAGTGAAATGTTGCTAATCCAAAAACAAGGTATAGAGGAGGTAGTGTTTATTTTTAAGTAACGTTATTTTGTTGTTGTTGGGAGGGTTTGTTAAAGAAATGAACAGAGAGCTGAGTGCACTTCAATGTAGTGTGCAAAACTTATTTTTAAATGTGTTAACAAACTTGCTGCTTGACGAGCTGAGAAGCAGGAAACAAGACAAAATGGGCTTCAGAGGTCTCTACCTGTAGCAAAACAGGCAGAAATTTAATTTAATTTCTGTATTTGTCAGTAAATAGATTTTTCTATAGCAAAACAGCTAATATTTAAAAAATAATAAATAGGGACTGGCTACACTCATACTGCGAGTCCTGCTTTGCACCAGAAGTACTGATTTGGCTGAAACTGAGAAATCCATTCAGAGTAATCATAACCTACCTACTTGCATGTGAATAATCTTAACTAACCATTTCTAAAAACAACTGAAATTAAAATAGTAACTGTTCTTGGATTGAGTAAATTTGTTTAAATACTAAATGGAGCAGTAAAAACTGTAAAACTTTATCTTGAGCGAAATATATTACAGTGCAACAAATTTTATGAACATGTCGTGACTTTAGCAATTCCAGCTTTCAGCTGGAATCCACTTTTTATCCTTAATCAAATCTGTCTGTCTTCAAGAAGGCATTTTTTTTTTTTTATTTTGCAGGAAGTAATTGTATCATAAAATAAGAGAAATTTGGGAAAAAAAATTGTAGATTATTCTGGTAACTGCTAATTTGTACTAACCAAATCCAGCAAAGTGTAAATTGCAGCTTTCCTCAGTGTTGTAACTAATGTCCACTACACCCGAGGAGCAGCTGCTTTTGCCACTAGTACACCTTCTGGCACAGATCTGTTTGAGGCAGACACATTCTGAAGGTGTTTTTCATATAATGAAAACTGTACAGTGATTTTTAGGGGTTGCGTAGACCACCTACAGGCAGTTATCAGTTGAGAAAGAAAATCCTGAATACAGAAAGTGCAGGGATCCAGGGGAAAAGGAGGGAAACAGAGGTTTCTATGGACTTAGCAATTTGTGATTAGTGAATTGGTGATTTTTTTTTTTTTTTTTCCTCTTTGTGATTAACAGTTGTAGTAAAAGTTTTCTTTATTAATGCAGTTAGTGTTCGGGTGACATGTCTAATATGTTCCCAAATAAATATTTTACAGTTTGTCCAGAAGCTCTGCACTGAGTGTAATGCATATGAGTTTGGGTGATGGTTTTTTTTTTTTTTTTTTAAATCCTGCTTCTCTTAAGAACATAAAGATTTCACAGAACACCTCTTTGAATTTGTTCATTCTCTCTTCTTTTTTTTTCTATATTTTTACTTTTTTTTTTTTTTTTTGTCCCTGTACAAAAGCAATTACATTCTTGTTAATGAAAATCAGGATTATATTGCAAGGCAAAAGTATCTAAGGCTCCCTTGTGACATATTTAAAAGGTGAAAGTTTGATGGAGTGTTCCTTGGGCTGACACGAGTTCAGAGTATTTCTTATAGATTCCTATTCAGCAAAAAAAAAGATATAATGTCTTGTTCACAACTGTAAATCAAAGGATTTTTAAGTTTAGGGCCTGAGCCTGCTGAGTTCTAAATACACAAGTAGTCCTAATAGCTCACTTCCACAAATGAGGATTTGCAGAACCGTGTCAGTAGATCCAAACTTTTATTTATTATTTTTTTTTAATGAACAAAAGATATCAAAGTAATCTGAACTTTGGGACAAGTTAAATAATTTTTTTCAGGAGCCCAAAGAGGAGAGTTTTGCAGTAGTGCAGTTACAGAGTGTGACTCGTGTACAAGCTGAGCTGTCTCTCAGGAGTGCTGTAGTTGTCAGTTACCATTAGAATCCATTTTTCAAGTGTCAATTGGCTCTAGAACAGTTTTTTAGCTGAAATTTGGCCTACATTAATTTTGTTGTAGAGCTGGTCAGCATGTTTGCTGTAGGAGTGCTCAGCGTGGCTGTTTTGTGCCCCAAAGAGCAGTGAAGCTTTGCAGAGAGCTCTGGGGTGTGTTTTAGTTTCTAACTCCCTGTTTCTGCTGTTGCAGTTCTTATTTAGACAAACTACCACTGCTTTTGTTGGAAATTAACCCTGCAATAAGGGCTGCGGTGCTGGCCCCTTAAAAACTGTTGGTGTGGCTATTGCAAATAGTGTGCTCGACTTCGTGGGCTGTTTTGCAATATCTAGTTGTAATGAGCTGAAGAGATAAAAATGTGCAGGCTTCTTTGCTGAAGTGCTTCCCGTGTGCAACTTTCCATGGCCACTTTTACCACTCACAGAATAGGTACATGCTTGAGCCTCTACAGATCTTGTTGCCTAAATCACAGTCTGATAGCTGACATTGCAAGCTTGCTGCTCTGCTCGTCTGAAGGAGCTGCTGCAGACATCTTTGTCAGCTCATCAGTGTTTTCTTTAAGGACTTCTGCTGCTTTTTTCAAAAGCAACTTAAATAATTTTCCTGAAAGGGAGATGTGGCTATAAAGGCACCCTGTGCCTGGTTATTACAGCACATGTAAGATCAGCAGCCCTCCTTTGAAACCCCTCTGGTAGCTCAGACGTGGCTGATTTAAATTTAGAAATCTGAAAGAAGTGAATTTTCTGGATTTTGTTCATTTTAACTAGATCCAGCCCTAATATTATTTTAAAATGGAGTTTTCTGTACAGTTAAATTTAAATAAACCTTAACTTTTGTTACTAGGCTAGAGATCTAGTGAAACATCTCTATGGCAAGGATTTGAGGCTGGTGTACTTAAACTTCAATTTTTTCTTCTCTGTTGATGAAGTGATCCTGCAAAACACTTGCAAAAGAAGAACAAACGACCCACAAAGTCTTCGGGAAAAATAGTTAAAAAATGCTAATTGCCATATTTAAATGCTTATGCTTTCCCCCTCAAAGCCAAATGCATGAAAATAGGCTTTTGCTTGTATTTATTTATTTATTTCAGCAACAACAACAAAAAAAGCAGTGCAGAAATGTCTGCAAACCCAGACATTTAAGCTGTGGGTATGGGAATAGAAAAATATAATTCCAGTTATCATAAGTGTTCAGCTACTGTATTGATAGCTTGTTCACCTACCTCGTCTGGGACTGCTGCTCACACCAGCAGCAAAAAGAGCCTGTATGAAGATGTGAGTGCTAATTCAGTAGTGAGGCCCTGTTTCTGGCTTTCTCAAGTATGAGTTTATTTTAAATACATGGATATCCGTGGTAGCTTTTTAGTTCTGAGTCTGTTGGAGGGGTTTTAGGTTTGGGGGTTTTTTCTTTTTTTTTTTTTTTAATTTTTTTTTTTTTTCAGAACATGTTATATTCTGTTGCTGTAAAAAATTTTGAATGCAGTATTTTGAGGAAAATTACTGCTTTTCAGTAAAATTTGATCATCAATTTAATTCAATTAGCTAAGATAATTAATTTAAAGCAAAGGATCGGCGGTATCTATATTTTTAATTTGTACAGTGCTTAAAAATCCTAGCAGTGTGCAAATACCTCCAAAGCAATTACACCTTTCCCTTATTCAAGTCACTGTGAAGAGCTTGCTGCTTATTTCTTGTGAGTGTACTCTGGTGTTTTTTTTCTGGATTTTTCTATGACTTCAAACCAAAAATTTTCATGATTTTATCCATCCATTTCTTAGTTGTTATGAAGAGGAATTTTTTAAAATTTTTTATTATTTTTTTTTCCCCAGATGAATATGGGTTTAAGCACTAATATGAAAGTTAACATAAATATTTTGGAAATATTGTCATTTTCAACATGATCAGAGTCTTCCCAACCTGAAATGACAATTTCCTACATCAAAATAGTTGTAGTATATTATAATTCACTTGGACTTATTGAGGATTGTGGGGAAGCCAGGAATTCCAGTGCATCTGAGAAACAAAAAACACTTGATTTAGAATTTCTGTATTGTCAGAGCAATGTTTTCTCTGGTTGAATAGGCAGATACTGTGGTCTGAAGGGAGTTAACACTCAAGTTATCCTGCAAACACTTTGCTTCCCCCTTGTTACAAACTATTACATGTCTTACTACAGATCAGGAATTAGAAAAGGAGGATGCTCCATCTGTTGTGAAACGTTGTAACAGCTCTTATGAGAAAGCCTGACTATAAATATATGCAAAAGTCTATTGCAGAGCAGAGTTCTGTGACACAAGTCTGACAGTACCAGCAGTACCTTGCACAGGCAGACAAACCCCTTAGCAAAAGGAGTGGTCTTCTGCTAATGTACTCCTCTTGATGCTCCCCAGAAGATTTCTCCAGGCTCTCAGGAGAAGGCAGATTGATGCTGTCAGCGACAGGCACAGTAGTTACACAAGCAGCAGGGAAATGTGTATTTTTCTTCATCTGTTTTATAACCTGAATCTGTTTCAGTTCTCAGGCAGTGTGGCTGTTACTTTAGGGGCTGTAGTGCTGTCTGACAGTCATTTCTTTGTTTTATTCTTTAAAAAATAAAAACAAAAATGTTTCCTATGTTGATTTTCAGTGCTGTGTGTGTGTGGCTATCAGTAACCCATCTGAAATAGAAGGGTTACCAGGTCCTAAATTCATTACCTCTGATCAGTTCGAGAGTAGAGGAAAACGTGGTTTGAAATAAGATCAGAAGAAAATGCTTGGGCTTTTCTTTCTGGAATTAGCAGGTTTAAAATA